CTTAAGAAACCCACCCTTAACCCATCTCTTTTAGAGAACTACAGACCGGTTTCCCTTCTTCCTTTAATTGAAAAAACACTTGAACGAGCTGTGTTCAACCAAGTCTCTGCCTTTCTCACACAGAACAACCTCCTCGACAGCAACCAGATTGGTTTCAGAAGTGGACATTCAACAGAGACTGCCTTGCTCTCAGTTGTTGAAGCCTTAAGACTTGCAAGAGCGGATTCCAAATCTGCAATACTTATCTTGCTGGATCTGTCCGCTGATTTTGATACGGTTAACCACCAGATCCTCCTGTCAACCTTATTGGCAAAAGGTATCTCAGGAACCGCACTCCAGTGGTTTGAGTCTTACCTCTCAGATAGGTCCTTTGTGGTATCTTGGAGAGGTGAGGTGTCTAAGTTGCAACATCTAACTACTGGGGTGCCTCAGGGCTCAGTTCTTGGACCACTTCTCTGTCTACATGGCATCACTAGGTTCTGTCATTCAGAAACATGGCTTTTCATATCACTGCTATGCTGATGACTCTCAACTCTACCTCTCATTCCATCCTGATGATCCGATGATAGCTGCTCGCATCTCAGCTTGTCTAACAGACATTTCATGCTGGATGAAGGACCATCACCTTCAACTCAACCTTGCCAAGACAGAATTGCTTGTTCTGCCATCAAACCCATCGTTTCATCCCAATTTCACCATCCAATTAGGCACATCAAACATAACTCCTTCAAAAACAGCCAGAAACCTTGGAGTTATGATTGATGATCAGCTGACTTTCTCAGACCACATTGCTAAAACTGCCCGGTCCTGCAGATTTGCTTTATTCAACATCAAGAAGATCTCTTCCATCTTTTTTTGACCCTCTACCTCTAGCATTCTCTATTCTAATTCTATTCTTTAAAAAAACTAAATTGTCCCTTTTAGACTTGCACTCTATTCATTTACTGCTTGTTTTCTTAAAAAAAAACTAACACTAGCTTTTCTTATCTTTTTGTATTCTATCTATTTGTTTTCTTATTATTTATTATACAATTAACAAAAGCAAAAAAAGCCTCTAACACTAGACCTATTACTAGCCTCTAACACTAGACTATTCTTTGTCTATTCTGTTTTCTTTTTATTTATTATATAATAAAAAAACTAGTTTACTAGTTCACGTGTAGTCCAATGATGGCAAAGAATATATTCAAAAGGTTCAAATAGCAGCAGGGTTTATATATATTTAAAACTAAAAAGGATCCAAAAAGGGCTTAAACACAACAAAACAACATGCACAGCACAAAATACTGGACCAAGAACTGAACAAATTGAGGAACTTAAATACACAAGGATAATGAACTCAAATACAGAGAGCTGTGTGTTATCATCATATAATGAATCATAATAAAAACAGGTGATGAAGAACAGGCTGTGCTAGATGGTTATGGATAGAGTGGTGATAAAGACACTTCTTTGCAGGATGGGACTAATGACTATGAATAACAGAATATGCTGGATGGGACCAGCAGCAATGAATAAGCATCTATACAACTGGGTCTTCTAGAGGCAGAACAGGTTTGTGGGTGGGAATCGGGGCCAAATGAATGGCTGGCTTGCATGGAAAAGGCAGGAGAGGAAACCTGGGTGTGAACATTTAAAAACACTCAACATGTGTTGGGTAAAAAAACAGGCGTAGTGTTAGATTGGACCAGTGGTGACAAAGACAACTCTGTACTGGATGGAACCAGTGGCAATGAAGAATGGACTGTGCTGGATGGGACCGGTGGCAATGAAGAACAGACTGCAGAACGGGACTTCTAGAGGCAGAAGAGGTTTGTGGGCGGGAATCAGAGGGGAAACTGTTCCTCTGGTTTCCAGCCAATCAGCTCATCTTCCAGCTCCACTAATACTCCCACTGGCGCAAATGTAATGGCTCACATACCTCCAAGAAGAACAAGGCTGCTGGCTCTGGCTCCGTAGTGGGCATTAACTCATGCATTATGTCAGTGGCAGGCATAAGCTGGGTCTCTTGGTCTAGGAGTGGTGACTGATTTTAGTTGGTACTTTATCAAAATAAAATACAGTGAACCAAACATCAATTGCGCCCCCCTCTGTGTCACCATTGGAACGCGACTGAAGTACAAAACCTATAATTTATATAATAAATAATAGTTTAGCATTCAGATACGTTACATTGCAAGTATAGAAATATTATGGAATATTTGGATTTGTGCCGAATGAGAGAGGTAGGATACATGAGCACAAAGCTCCATTTCGCAAACAGTTGAGTGCACAAGCCTTTAAAGCACTCCTTTGTCAATCTGTGAGAGATGCATTCAGAATCAGCACATGGTCACTGTCTAGTGGGCTTTGTTTTCAAGTGCCCAACTCATGGCATTCGCTGTTCTTCTGCTGGTGGCCGGTTATCAAACAGCCTTGAATTGCTACGGGCGCCAGCTTCTGGATTGGGGGTGAATTGCCTGTATTCGCGGTAAGGCCTCATGCACCGAACCGAGATGTCTGTACTGTGACGGATTTTCTGAATTTTCATTTATTTCTATAAACACTGAATGCTGACGGCTCTTAGAGAGAAGGCCTCGCCTACAGTCATAGTAATGACATTTACAGTCCAACAAACAAAATGTGTACAGCGTCATACGTAATCCTGATCATCTGACTTAGTAAAATGTCAGGCACAATAGATCAAGAGGAGGTTTTTCTGTATTCTGTATGCATTATGGCACTTTTCTTAAATGATGTGTAACCGTTTTCTGGGTAAATCCACATTAGACAAGCCTTTAAAAAAATCATGAAACCATGGTACTCGTGTAAAATATGTTTTCTTTGTTCGGTTAAGAAGCTTCATCTATTGGAACTATTGGAATCGGATGATGAACACCTTGGGGGAAATCATTTTAAATGTAGGTTTGTCAAAAAGAAAGAATCATCTGTTATCTGGTTTAGTTGTATTTAAAAAATTAAATAAAATAAAATCCCTTTCTTAAAAACATTGTCAAACTTATTTGGTAGCCTGATACTCGTTTCATTGTGTATTCACCACATATTTATCATACTTAAAAGTAGCGTGAACCTTCGTAGAAGTAATAAAAGTAAATCTTATAAAACAAAGAGAACCGATTAATGACTTTGTTAGAACACAACGGGTATGAAACTACATTTGGTAACATTTTATTCAAGCTTTAAAGCAAGTTTATGCTTTAAAACAGTAAGTGTTATACAAATGCACAATACTTGCTTTTGGGAAAAAAGTTTGAAAACTTACATATGCCGACCTGAACTGCTGACCTTCCTGAATGGTGCCATTGTGTGTGTGGGTGTGAGGATCTGTTTGGAGTTGGCATTCCCTATTTTTAAAAACACTGCAACAACCACATTTGTCAACATGAGAACATTGAGTCCTCTGCACAATGTGACATTGCTGCAGCCTGGAATTGAACTGCTGGTTTTGTCTGGCCAGAGGAGAACTGGCCCCCAGTTCTCAGTCGGAGCCTGGTTTCTCCCAAGGTTTTTTCTCCATTCTGTCACCGATGGAGTTTTGGTTCCTTGCTCGCCTCTGGCTTGCTTAGTTGGGGACACTTAATTTCCAGCAATATCATCGACTTGATTGCACAGATACTATTTAAACTGAACTGAGCCAGAGGCGACAGCGGCAAGGAACCAAAACTCCATCATATAGTGAGGTAGATAGAGAAAAATAGGCTTCTAACAATCAGCTCAATAAAATGTAACACTGTCCCCAAATAATGATCTGCAATTGTAGATATTAAAAACAGTCAATACATACCCACGATGCTACAACAGACGCAAGATGTAAACAAATATCACAGTATAGCTTCAGATACACTAAACATGCTACTCGCTGTGTCATGCTTGCTCAATTCCTCATTAATGGTGACATGGCATGACTCTTTATTGAAACTTAAGATTCTTAAAGGGACCACACCCAAAAAAAAAATCAGAGATTTCATTCAAAAACGAAAACAAGACTTGAAACATATTAAATGGTAACAAAACACTCATCATACAAACCTCACCAATGGTGACAATCATCAAACTAATTCAGATCAACTGCAATGCATGCTGGGAGTCATGAATGAGTTTTGTACTATGTTGATATCTAGCATGCATTTCAGCATAAAATTTTATTTTGTTTATTGTCACCAGTGTTGAGTTTTAATATGCTGATTCTTGATGTCTAATTGACATAAATACACACAACACACTTGTGAGCAATTATTTAAATGACCTCACAATGATCAACATCACTTGATTCCAATGGATCTTATTTTTTTTATTGCCTTAACAAATGTATTTTTGCACATTGTTACAAGTGACAATGAAAAACTAACATTAAAGTTCAAAGAGTCAAGAGCCTAACTAAAGTGAACACTGATCACAATAATGGTGGATTGTTGAAATGTCAACATTTTTCAACATCAATTGCGGGTGCAAAAGTGATTTTGATTCAATGCAATTAACAATGAAAAATCAACAATTTTTTTTACATTGATTCAATGGTTGCTTGCTATCAGGGACCTATTACCTCCAATAATGACAGCCTCACAAATGCTAATGAAGATACGCAAACCCCTACTAGGGGTTGCTAAATATTTACAAGGGGTTGCCAAGCTCATTCTAATTTGAAGTTTACAAATAGAGTTAATGGTTGCAGTTTGATGATTGAAGGTTTTATGTGTAGACCAGTGATGTTCAGTATGCCTTAAATATGGAAATTGGTCTATAATATCAGTTGCTTTTTGGCACAGAAGAAATTATGTATTAATGCATTTCCGTTTATTTATTTTTCTTGCTTTGTTTTTCTAACCTTTTTTGTTTCTCTCTCTCTCTCTCTCTCTTACAGTTAGCCACAGTAGAACATCTCCTTGCATTGGACCGAACACTTGCTAATTGTCATGATAGTGATGGTTACACCCCTCTACACCGTGCTGCTTACAGTGGCCATTATGTCGTGGTTTCTGCTCTTTTGAATGCTGGAGCGAATCTTCATGCAAGAACTACTGATGGTTGGATGCCGCTACATAGTGCTTGTCGCTGGGGTCATGCCACTGTAGCTTCGTGTCTTTTGAATTGGGGGGCAGAGGTCAATGCCTTGACAGCGGGGCGACTCACACCCCTACAACTGGCTGCTGGAAATACTGCAGCTGGGCAGACGATTGAGTTATTGCTGTCACAGCGCACCCTACAGGCAGGACTGAAAAACAGTGCAGGAGAGACTGCTTATGACATTGCACATCGCACAAGTGAACATCACAGGCTGTTTGAGATGGCAGAGCCTTGTAATAAAATATACTGACACGCGTGTGCACAGGGTGAAATTCTGACATCAAGCTTAGAACTGTGTCTTATTATTAATAAATGTAGATGTGAAACTACTGTTTTTCTATAAAGAGTAGAGGACGTCATTTAAAAAAAAAAAACAAGAACTGTCATCAGCGTGCAGGAAATAAACGGATGTTCACAACAATGTGTAATTATAATCATTAAAAATTATAAGCATGTCTTTGCATGTGAGGGTGCTTTTTCTGTGCATGATGTGCTTAAAATCACAGCTTCGCTCAGCATTCTGAAGATAAGAACATTTTCCTGATGCTATTATTGATTATTATTAAATAGCTTCTCTTTTTAAACTTTGTTAACTAATTTTAATTACTTTTGATTTCTTCTGCACTGTGACAAATTCATTTTAAAAGTACAAATAATCCATGTAGTCTCTAAAAGAATACAACATTTCTGTGTCCTCTGAATCTTTAATAAATATAAAACCTAGAAATAAGTTTGATAGATAGATAGATAGAGGATTGATTGAAAATAGGTGAACAGCCACAACTATACATTGATATACTTTTATTTTCTATTCAGTTGTGAGGGAGAAATGTTGAAGTGGGTGTTTTGAATGTTCGCTTTGACCGTGTACGATGCGGAGTCCAGCCCGGGGTCGTCATATGTGGTTGCCGCAAGCCTTCTGGATGCTCCTTCATCGAATCCGCCGGCCGCTGCTCACTCTGTGTGACGCTATGTGTTTCGTTGTGAAAGCGAAACTACTTTGTTTGGCCTTCCAAAAGAGGACACGACTAGAAATCAGTGGTTAAGTTGTATTTACAACACTGTTCCAGAACGGTTCAACCCAAATATTCAGATGTGTGCAGCGCATTTTATATGACTGTTTCCTGGCAGAGTAGACTACAGTTCTGACTCACTGACTGTAAGTAAGTTTTCATATTTAAAGAATTTGCCATTGATGATTCAAATGCGAGTTTTGAGCAGTGTAGAGTAGCGCTTGTTGTTTCTCCGATCACAAATGCAGACATGGTTTTATGTTTACACGGCGCAATGCAACGCAACGCATAAAAGACAGTATAAGTCATTATAATCTGTAATTATGTCCCCACTGGATGCAACAAATGCCTCGTTTATAATCGGTTTTCATGTTTTTGTCTCATCGCTCCGTGACACGGCATCACAATATGGAAAGGGCCGTAACATTTCCATCACACGCTTGAGGTATTTGGCCAATCACAACACACTGGCCAATCAGAACACACCTCACTTTTCAGACCGATGAGCTTTGTAAAAAGGGAAAAGGCTGAACTGTTGACCTTTACCTTTCAAAAGGCTCACAATACAGATAATTTAGAAGAAAATTATAAGAGAAAGAGGGAAGAAATCTTAAAGTAACATCAAGATATTTATATTTAAAAACCTAATAGTCTAACAGCATTAGGTGCCACTTTTAAAATGTGGGAACTAAAAAGAGTATTAATGAAAGTTATAAATACCACCCCAGGGACAGATAGAGTTTGCTATAATATGATTAAACAAATGGATGAAGTAATACTTAAAGCAATATTGGATCTTTTTAATAAAATATGGATAGAAGGTCAACTGTCTTTATCATGGAAACAAGCTGTCGTAATTCCTATTCCCAAACCAGGAAAAGATTCTTCAATAGCAGGAAATTATAGGTAAATTTCTCTGACATCTAACCTCTGTAAAGTGATGGAAAACATTATTGTTAAACACTTATATTATGTGTTGGAAAGCAGATGATTAATAGCTCCCTATCAGTTTGGCTTCCGACCAGGTAGATCTACTTCAGATGCATTATTAAGACTAGAAACTTATGTAAAGAAGGCATTAGCAATGAAAGAGGTGTTAGTGGCAGTATACTTCGACGTTGAAAAGGCAAATTATATGATGTGGAGGGAAGGAGTGTTATTAAAGTTGCAGAGAATTGGAATTGTAGGAAGATTTTATAATTGGGTTTTAAGTTTCTTATTTGGTCGAACGATTCAAATCAAGGTGGGTAGTGTATTATCTCAGATGGTGAATATAGAAATCAGAACTCCTCAGGGAAGTGCTATAAGTCCTATATTATTTAACATAATGATCAATGATGTGTTTGAAGGAATTCATCCAGCAATTTCAACAGCATTATGCTGATGATGGAGCAATGTGGAAGAGAGGGAAAAATGTTAAATGTATTGTATATAAAATTCAGGAACCAATAGAGGGCGTAGAGAAATGGTCAGTGGAATGGGGATTCAGATTCTCTATATCCAAAACGTGTTGTCAGTTTTTTACAAAAAAAAAAAAGGATTGCAGAAAATATTAAGCTTTATTTATATAAACAACCATTAGAAAGGTTGTTTAGATTTAGGTCTGTGGTTTGATTCTAAATTAACATGGAAAATCCATATTGACTACATTGAAAAGAAATGCAGTAAAGTACTAAATCTAATGAGATGTATAGTAGGCCAAGAATGGGGGGCAAATAAACAATCAATGAACACCTTATACTGTGCACTTCTACGATCTGTTTTAGATTATGGATGTATTATATATGGATCTGCATCAATCAGTATGCTTAAAAAGTTAGATCTTATTCAAGCACAAGCTTTGAGATGTATTACAGGTGCAATTAAAACAACTCCAATCTCAGCAATGCAAGTTGAAACAGGAGAGTTTCCATTAGATATAAGACGTACAAAAATTATCTGTTGCTTACTGGATCAATTTACAAGGGCATAATTCAGATCATCCTACAAAATCAATATTAGAAGGGAGTTGGGAGACAATGAACTTAACAGGAACAGGATTTCTTTGGAAGAGCAGTTGAAAAACTGTATGCAGAAGTTGAGTGGTGTTACCAGTGACCAATTGGAAAAAAAGATGCAGAGCAGGAGAGGATAAAGTGTTCTATCGTATTGAGAGAGCATGTGAGCGGGTCAAGAAGGAGTTGGACATACAAGAGCTGGGGAAGTCGATGGTTGATTGCCTTGCTAGACGCGATGTCCAGAGGGACAGGAAAATCAATGCTTGCATACCCTCCACATCTACTCCAGTGCATCAAAACCCAAGTTCACTTTCCACTCCTGCAGTCTCTCGTATCTCTAATAAAACTTACAGTGTGCAAAGAAGTCATCCTCCATTTACATCTGCATCCATCTCACACCGTCCCCCTATTGATATTGAGTTTCTACGTTTTGGTGAAGGTGAGGCTGATGACCCTGTTTCTTATGTTGAGAAATGTAAAGAATATTTAGCTCTACGTCCTCTTTGTGAGGTAGAATTGTTTGCCACCCTGTCTTCTGTGTTAAAAGGTACTGCAAAAGCCTGGTGGGCAGCAGAGAGGAGAAATTTAAGTTTCTGGAAGCAGTTTAAAGAAGTTTTCCTGAAGTCATTCCTGACTGAGGACTATGAGGCAGAAGCTGCAAGATTGCTGAGAGAAAGGAGACAAGGAGTACAAGAGAGTATCCGTGACTTTGCCTTCCAGTATCGTGCTTTGTGTCTCAGATAAAGGAGCGATATGCCTGAAAAGGAATCATCCAAGCTATCCTAAGGAACTGCAACCCAAGGCTAGCCAGTTTGCTTCAAGGAACGGTGAGGAGTGTGGGAGAGCTGGTAAGGATTGGAACCCAGATTGAAAGGGACTTTGAGGAATCAAAAAAATATTGGAGCAGCATAAATTCAGAATCCCAAAACAAGAAGAATCAGCATGTACAAGGTCCAACTACCCAGTCATCAATGGCAAGTACTAATACCATACAGTCTGAAACACTTATTACTCAGCCCAGTAAGCAAGAGATGGGGATGCTCACCAGGCCCGGTACTAGGCTCGCTGGACTGGGGGGGCAATCAGAAATTGTGGTAGGGCAGCACTTTCTAGGGTAATATATTCATAGTTTACTTTTATTTAGGCTACTCAATTTTCAGTCTTGCATTTTGTGTCTGTGTGAGTGCAGAAATGTTAAATATGTGTGTAGACAATATTAAGCGAATCTGTACAAATAATAAGTGTTTAATGCTTATTTTTTATTTTATTTTTTTGGCTGGACATTTTTGGGGGGGCACAAGGAGATTCTGGGGGGGCATTGCCCGCCCTAGACCCGCCCTAGACCCGGCCCTGATGCTCACCCTACCTGCTCTTCTACGTCAAGGACGGAGACGAGTCTGCTTACAGACAGGAGGTTAAAGAGCTGGCTGTCTGGTGCAGTCTTAACAACCTGGAGCTTAACACGCATGACTGTGGACTTCAGGAGAAAACCCCCTGCACTCCCCCCACTCACCATCATGAACAGCACTGTGGCTGCAGTGGAGTCATTCAGGTTCCTGAGCACCACCGTCTCTCAGGACCTGAAGCGGGACACTCACATACAGGGATAGGCCGTATTTATGATACATGTATTTCAAATACAAAATAGTATTTTGTCATTTGTATTTGATAGGGTTGATGAAAATGGATTTGTATTTTGTATCAAAATACTTTAGTGTTCTGTATATTTGTAGTTTTAAAATACTGTAAAATACTTTGTAAGAAGTCTACATGATGACATCATAAAAATGCTGCCTCTGATGGGTGCCTACTCAATAGGCTAGTTTGCCCAGACTTGTTGAGATCAGATCAGAAAATTTGGAAGAAGTTTGTCAAGGTAAGAAATGTTCAGGCTGCCAGCTTTCCATCAATTTTTTTTGCATAAATAGTTCTTTGGTCCTCTCCTGGACTGAAGCACAGGATCTACTCTTCAGCACAATGGTGACCCACAAAACCCAGACAACAGAAACCCTTTAAATCCCAACAGAACATTAAACACTAACAGATCTCTCTAGATCCCAGCATCTTCACTTATTACAAACCAGTCTGACTTCATTTCTTTCATACAAAACTTCTTATTGAGAATTAACTGAGGTTTAGATGTTGATGTTTTATTTAAATTAATGGTAACGCTTTAGATTACAACCCGCAATGTACTGCGTAAGTAAACAGATTTTACAGCGTAACTTTTTTGTAATTACAGTGTACCTTTTCAGTACCTCCGTGTAGGTATAAGGGAACAATATGCAAAGTTTGGGGAATAAAGGAGTAATAATCTGTAAAATTACAAATTATTTCTACTGTAAGTATTTTGAAACTAAGGGGTACCTATTCTAATATTACGTGGTATATATGACCTAACAACAATCTTATATTTGCAAGCGATTTAGCAAAAACATACACTGTGTACTTTTTTTTTATAGCCTACACATAAAAAACACCCTGGTAATTGTTTAAATCCAAACGCTCGGTTGAGAA